ACCATCCTACAGTGTCTCATCTCTCACCCTGGACCAACCTCTTTGGGTGCTGCGCTGAAACAGTGGGTGGGGTTGAGGTGCAAAGTCAGGCAGCAACATGCAGGGGTCTCCAGGTGTGCTGGGTGTCCCAGCTCTGATCCCAGCCACCTGAGATCCAGGCCTGGCTCAGCTCCATAAACAGATGCACCCTGGGCCCTTGAGGTGCCCTGAGGTGTGTGAGAGCCCAGGTGGGGCTGATGTGCTGCAGAATCCTGGGGAACACCAAAGCCATCTGGGCCATCAGCCAGAGGCCAGGCACGTTCCCCAAGGGCATCTGCAGTGGCTCTGGACACCTGAGCACAGGGAACCAGATCCCAGCACAGACCCTGGGCAGTGCCCAGTAGCACCAGAGACTTGTGCTCCTGTTGTCTCCATTGCCAAGGTGAGAGCAGCAGTAGCACTCACTTGTGCCAGCTGGATAGCTTAGAGAGGTAAGAGAATATTTTGTTGTTTAGGAGGACAAAGTAGGAACATCACTCTGAGACCCTTCTGCTGGACAGCTCCTTTGCCCCAGGTCGCTGCCCCCATGGGTTTTTTCTCCTGGGATCAAATGCCACCACCGCCCACTCCTGATGCTGGTTCAGGCTGAGGGACCTCTGCAGACACCTCTGCTCTACCTCATGGGGCTCTCTCTGACCACTGGGTCTTCATCCTTGCCATGTCTCATCCCACGCCCCATTACTCTTGCTTTCTAGCATTTGGAATCATGGGCTGCTTGACCATCCCTGTGAGTGCCACCTTTGCCAACCCCTCGCATTCTCCCCAGGACCTTTAATCCTGTCAGTGCCCAGAAATGCCCTCCCCTCCACAGCAAGCCTGTGAAATACATGGGAAGCCTAAAACCGAAAGGAATCAGCTTGATGTCTACCTTCCTGCAGGTCTCAGCTTGGAGCTGATCCAAGGGCTGCCCCAGCCCCACGAGCATCCTCCCAGGCAGCTTCCATCTGTGGTTTCCTCTGTTTTCTGCTGCCCCTGGTTGTGAATGGGGAATAATGATTCAGCTCTTTCATGAGCCCAGAGCCAGTCCATGTCCCCAGTGGTTCTGGAAGCACCTCCATCCACTGGGAAGATGCAGCTGTGCTGACACAGGAAGGTAATTTTGCGGTTTGTTGCATGTCTGTGCATCTCTGGGGAGAGCTGTGGGCACTGGTGTGTGTCATGTGAAAGTGGGGGGAGTTCGCCTGACCCTTAGAGAGGGGAGATTTTCTTGACCCACAGAGATTTATTTGTCTGTTAATGCCCCAGGGAAAACAAAACCATGGATATCCAACGAGTCTGTCAAGTATCCCATAAGGGGACTCTTCACCAAACACTCTTCACAGGATGGGGGATGATTTGGTTGCCCTTTTCAGGGGACTCCCACCCAACAGCATAGGGGAGAACCCCTCAGTGGGCCTGCCAGCATGTTATTCCACTGCCAGCAATCTGTCAGCACCTTATAAAGGACTCACTTTAATAGTTTACAGAATAATACTCTTTATTCATACAAACTGTGCCAGGTTAATAAGGTTTGTAGGTCACTGGTGATAGTGTCTAACTGCAAAAATGTGTTTAAAGCAATCTAATCATACTGTAAAGAAAGCACAAACACAAACTCTAATACAAAACAATCTACCAACAGATTATGGAGCAAAAGCAAGGTCTAGTCCTGAAAGCAACACATAGAATAAGTTTATCACCTGATAAGCATCCCTAAAGCAGGGAGGGAAGACAGGTTCAGCTTGTCAGCCAATCCCAGTAGCTGAGGTGGAATCTTCCTCCAATTTCTCCCCGTTTCCAACTTCCTTTCCTATTATTTCTTTAGATTTAGGTGGGGTTTGAGTGACTCTAGTCATAAGTATGTAATTGGGTAGTTGTCCTGGCATCTATCTTTCTTGGTGGGCACAAAGTGTCACCACGTTGCCCTCCCTGCAGGATGTTTCTGAAGGGAGGCTGCAGTGCCTTCATGTTGCTCCCCTCTCTGTTGCATCTCCAGTAACAGGTGTTTATCAGTGTTTAGGAAACCCCTGTGGGGCATGTGACTGTGTTCCACATGGGAAGCAGCCGCTGGGTCTCCTCTGTAATCCTTATTCTCCTTTAACTTCCAACCCTATCCATTATTCCGCAGTGTGCCACTGGGATTTTAGAGAGAAAGGAAAAATGATTTTGCCCGGGAGCTGTGAGGAGATGCTGGGAGCTAAACCCACTGCACTGTCAAGAGTTGGACCATGCAGCTTGCTTAGTCCTTTTCCAATAGCACCAATGGTTCAGATTCCACGTTGGCACGTGCTGTTCCAAAAGAGAAGGAAACGAGAAAATCCAGACAGTACCATCATCTGTCCTGTGCTTGAGAAAGCAGCTGGGCAAAACTCCTTTGCTCCGTGCAGGAGCACCTCTGGCTGCCACGTGGGGAAGGCAGGCTGGGAACTGCTTTGCTGCAGTTTTGGCATCTCCTGGGCAAAGGAGATGCCATCTCCATCTGCTGGGTTGGACACACTGGAGCTACTGGATCTCTTTGACGGAGGCAGCCCATGTGCTGTGTGTGGTTCTGCAGGAAGCACGTGCTGTTTGTGGCACTGCCAAGCTGATCTCCAGCTGAGCATCCGAGGGGAGTGCACATCTCTTAACCTCAGCCTGCAGAGACAGGCTTTTTCCTGGGAAATGAGGCTCAAAGACATGAGGGCCCCTTCCAAGTCTCACAGGCGATACCACTGGCAATTTCCTGTCTTCAGTTAAATGGTAATCTAGAAAAAGGAAAGAAAATATTACTTTCATCCATCTAAATCCTTGATCTTGCTGGGAGCTATTAGAAGAAAGGAATGTCGCATTTATCAAAAACCAATAATCTCAATTTTCACGTGTTATTTTCACACCTAGAGTTAGACTAAGAAATCAGGTCAATATTAGAGGTTTGTTTAACCAACTTAGGCTCTGCATACAAAGGCCAAAATTTCCTGTTATACGAGTTTTATAAGTAGACACCTTCAGTTTCTGAGGGACGGCTTATCTACTGCGTATCTGGATAGGATTCTATGAAGTTACACTCCATTTACACAAGAACCAGCAAACCTATTCAGACTAATTACA